ATTGTGGGTTAAAAAAAAAAAATAAATAAATAAATAAAATGAAATAATTTTATAAAACCCATTATAAAGTTTAATTAAAAATAAACAAAAATCAATTTACAACTATCAAAATTTTTATAAAAATCAATAAATCCTTATTATAGAATATCCAATCAATGTTTTATCGTTTTTTCATAGTATTTTGATAATATATTATACGGTATTATTAATTAGTTAGACCGACTAGGATAACTTCGTATAATAGGTCTAATATGTTCATCGCATATACAATGTTAATAAGATTCAACTTTTCATTTTAAAATTAAAATTTTAAAGATAATTTATTGTCTTTTAAATGTTATTTATGATTCAAAAGACAATTGACACAATCTTTCCTTTGTCATTTGTCCTAGTTTTCAATAACAAATTTTTATATTTGCGACTGCATTGTTTTATTAAATATAACAGTTTGTTTGCTTATTTTTTCAATCACGACATTTTTAATATAATCTTCAGATTCTACACAAGTTTTAATTATATTTGAGTTCAGAAATGATATGCCTTTCTGGCGGAAGATTTGACGTTGTTTCGTGAGATAAATCATCCTCAGGCAACTAATCCATTTTGAAGAAAGTCTCGCTCACTATATAGTTAAAATCACGTGATAATAAGGGCCGTAGCCCGAAATCAAGGTTGATGTACAACTATAAGGCTAAAAAAAATTCTAATTCGCGCATCGAAATGTGGCGTGCACCAGAGACAATAGCATGCCTTCGGAAATAAGAACGAATTGCTTCATACATATGCAACTCTTTCTTGATGCAGGTGTTGTCATGTTAGGACCGTGCTACAAGTGTAACCATATTGCATCCGGTATTATACAAGAACAGCAATGACGTAGAACGTAGCCAAAAAAAAATCGTATAAATAGTAACTGTTTTAAGCTTGAATTTGGATTTCGTTAAATCCTTCTCTTTTAAAGTGTTGCGCAGGTTAGGATTAACGCTTGCCTGTTGTTATTTATATACCTCAGCTTCAAGAAGGTAATTTCGTAATACAATTAAACATTTCTTAAATTTTTTCGTCAATATGATGTTACTTGCGATAAATGCTAAGCCACTACGACGCTTTCACATTGTGATTTGCAAAAATTAGTCAAAAAAAAAAAAATTAAAAAACAAAAAAGCAAAAAAAAAAAGCAAAAAAAAAAAAATGACAAGGCAGAAGGGTCAAAGTATAATAGGGAAAATAGTACAATGTGAATGTGGTGTAGAATACGAGTCAAGAAACGTTTCATCTAGTGCAATATCTGATCATTCTTCCCAAGATGGCGACGAAGAGAACGCTGTGACCATATTATTTAAGAATGCACGCCAAAATGTTGATTTCGAATCTACCGAATATCTGGATCATAACGAGAGCGTGCATCCTGGAAGTGAAAATTATCACTCTTTCTATTTTGATCTCAAGGAAACAGATTCCCGTTATTCGGACAAGATAAAGGATGAGAAAGACGAGGCACCTTTTAATCTTGAAAAACAACATTTCGATTGTTCAAATCAGTATTTTAGCGGTAAACTTTCGCCCAAGCAGGCTCAGACTGATGATCGGTCTGCTGATCTCTCACCTGAGCAAGCTAATGATGGGTTAACGCCTATGTTTTCGTTTCAGGATGAAGAATACTCGGGCGCGATAACATTTTCATCAAGCTTTGTTCGTTCGGGATCTTCTTTTCTTTTAACTTCCCCCCCTCGTCCATCATTTTGCCCTTATTCTTCTTCTGATGATGAGTCAGACTGTTCAAGATCTCCTCCATATTTTCCAACATCTCCATCTTATATCCCATCTCCAGAATATAGACCCATATCTCCTTCATACTCACCAGAATATTTTATGAGTAAATCAAATCCACCAGAATCTACTTCTCAAGAAATTTCTCCCCCATTTCCAATACCTGGCGTGGGAGTTGATTATTTCACGACTGTACCTCCAGAAATTTTTATTTTGATTTGCCAAACACTTTCTGCTAAGGATCTATTAAACCTTTGCCGTGCTTGCAAAAGGTTTAATTTATTCCTTTGCGAATCGAACTCTGCCTCTACACAGCATATCTGGCGTACCGTGAGAGAAGAAACATTTCCGATATCAAAAAACGATATCCCACCTCGGGGCATTGATGAAAGAGAGTATATGAAAAAATTGATGGAACGGAGATGTAAATTCTGCAAACATCTTCACCATTCTGGGTATTCTACCTTTATTGTGGAAATGTCCAACATTTTACCTTAAATTCTTGCACATTTGTGAGCATTTTGTATTTTGATTTGCTCAGTTATATTATGATCAAACTGTTTAATCGGAGGAAAGTAGACTCATTGTTTAGATTTCTAAATTAGCAATATATATATTCGCAATCCGATAGACTTTATTATGTTGTTTATTTCCAGATATATTCGTGTCTAATTTTGTGATTTTCTTCTTGAATGTATTGACACAACGTCGAATTAAGCGACTAAAAAATTTCTTGTAATAGTGATATGAATGACACGAAGAAAAAAGTAATAACATTTTTTCATGTATAAAGAAAAATATGATCTGTTTTGCTTGATAAGAAATTCTGTTGTTATTAATTGATCCCTATTTTTCGTGAAACTTGCGGACGTATGGATATTATAATATATTTATTTCCCACGATTTGTATTATATAAATAAATTCGTACAGAATAACTATTTAGCACAATTAAATTATACAAATATTTGTTCAAAACTTTCAGCAATCAATGCCGTCGTGTGTTGATGAAGGTCTTAAAAGATAATTAAAATGATAATTTATAAATAATTTGACTACTAAGATATAAATTTCTTTTTTTTTGTCGTTTCGTTTCGTTTCTTCTTTTTTTTTTGAAAAGAAAAAATTCTCAAAAAAAATTGATAAAGAAAATATTAAATTTTAGAATGATGCCATCAATGATTGTAAAAATAACACAATAAAAATATTATTACTTTTAAAAAAAATAACAGAAGTAAGTTTCTTTAAAATGTATCCTAAAAGACTTATAGAAATAAATTTATTTTTATTATTTTTTTTTTTATAACCTGTGGTCAGGTCAACACTGTGTATTTATTAATCATATGAAAACTGATAAAGATACATAGGGCAATTGCATCATGGCTAAACTAAAAGACTTATACTGATACACTCATCAATGGCTTTCAATTCTCAAAAAAGCTTCAGTCTCTAAGTATAATCTTGGAGACAATATTTTACTCCATAATAAATTTTGGGTAAATATTCTTCTGATTTATCCATTATTGCTAGTAGGTTGTCATTACTTATTATCCTCCAAGGAATTGAATTCGAGAAATTACAAAAGGTGAAAAAAAAATTAAAAAGAAAAAGGAATATCTAAAATTATACAAATGCACTACATAAAAATAAAATAAAATAAAATTGTTTCATGTCTTCCAAAGGACCTTTGCTAAAAACTTTTCTTATTAGGAGTCAACTCTTCTTGGATATTCTGCTTTTTTCTGACTATTTGAAGAACTTATCTATCTGTGCTCTTAATTATTTTCTTGTAACTGTCTAAGATACTTATCACCTACTTGGATCCAGTATCTTGCTTGATGCTTCCTTTCTTTTAGTCTTAATTTTGTATTCACTTGTGTAAAAGAAAACAATTAATGGTGGACCCTAGATTCTTATGTAGCTTTTCAATCTTATTGAATGACTTTTAATATATTTCAACAGTCATATCTAGTTAAAAGAATTTTACTAATGTTTATCTTAATTATAATATTATTACACAATGTTTACAAAAATATA